GTGAAGTTGAAGGATAATGAGTATATCCGGGAGGTCCGGTACCCGACCTGGGTCGCGAACCCGGTCCTCGTAAAGAAGAACAACGGGACGTGGCGCTTGTGTATCGACTTTTCCGATCTAAACAAGGCGTGTCCCAAAGATAGCTACCCCTTGCCCCACATCGACTATATGGTGGATGCCACCTCGGGACACGAGTTGATGAGCTTCATGGACGCGTACTCGGGATACAATCAAATACCCATGCACCCCGACGATGAGGAACACACATCCTTCTACTCGGCACGCGGACTTTACTGTTACACAATGATGTCATTTGGACTAAAGAATGCCAGGGCAACCTACCAACGTCTTGTTAACAAAATGTTTGCTAGTTTGATAGGTGTGAGCATGGAGGTGTACGTAGATGACATGTTAGTAAATTTCGTGTACGCGTCTGATCATGTTAACGATCTCAATAAGATGTTCTCTATTTTGCGTGATTATTCGATGAAGTTAAATCCCAAAAAGTGTACGTTTGGTGTCGGGTCCGGGAAATTCTTGGGCTATATTGTTAGCCAACGCGGCATCGATGCGAACCCCGAAAAGATCCGGGCAGTACAAGACCTCCGACCACCAACCTCGATCAAGGGGGTCCAAAGCCTAACCGGCAAACTCGCCGCCCTAAGCCGGTTCATCTCCAAGTCAACGGATCGGTGCAAGTCTTTCTTCGACGCGATCAAGAAGAATCACAAGTTTGAATGGACCCCCGACTGCCAAAAAGCACTAGAAGCCCTTAAGGAGACCCTCTGCCGGGCCCCGACAATGCAAAAGCCCCACCCGGGGGAAACGCTCTATCTTTACCTAGGGGTGTCCGAGGTGGCTGTGAGTGCCGCCCTGATCTGGGAGGAGAACTCTTGCCAGCACCCAGTCTACTACGTTAGCAAGGCACTCCACGATGCCGAGCTGCGTTACGCACCCATGGAAAAGCTTGCTTTCGCGCTGGTAACCGCTGCCCGGAAGCTGAGGCCGTACTTCTTGGAATACTCAATCGTCGTTCTCACCTCCTATCCTATTAGGCAGATCCTACACCGGCCGGACGATGGTGAAGTGGGCAGTGGAGCTGGGGCAGTACGACATCCACTACCGACCCCGAAC